ATTCAAATCTTCCTGGAGTGCTCGAATGTCCCGTCAAAATGAATTCGCGGCCTATTTTGGTGCCCGGGCAAACTTGCCGATGTCGTTTCTTTATGCCCTCATCTATGTCGTTTATGTAGATTGTGAACAGCGGGGGGGCCCAACACTGCCCCCTTGGAACACCGCTCGTGACGCTTCCCCACTCTGATTTCTCCCCTTTTATGCAAACTCTCTGCTGCCTATTTGTCAACCATGCCTCTATCCAGGAAAAAATTTTCCTCCATTCCTGTTTTTAAATTTTCCTAAATAGTCTCTGTGGGGGGCCCCCTGTCAAAAGCCTTACTGAAGTCCTATCACAATTCAATTATTCCCATGATCTACCTCCTCAAATACCTTAGTAAAAAAGTTAAAAAATTTTCGAAAGGGCGGGAACGCCCCTTTTAAAACCATCCTGGATTGTTTATTAATTTATGCTTTTCAAGGTGGCTACGAACTGCCTCGGCAATTATTGATTCCAAAATTTTCCCACTATGGAGGTTAGGCTTTTTGGTCATAGTTCAACTAAGGACCTGTCACCTTTTTTTAAAAATAGGTTCCTTTTGCCATTTTTCCATTTTTCTGGCCCATGCCAGTTTTAGTGATATTTTGAAAAAGTTTACCCAAAAGGTGGTAAGCCCCCTTTTTTTTTACATTCCTTTAGAACCCTTGCATACAGTTCTCGGGGGCCTGGGGATTTTTTTAGGTTTTTTAATTTATCTATTTGCCAAAGGGGACCATGTCACTTGTGCCCCCAAATAGTCACAGTTTATTATCGCCTGTTCTAATAATTATCATTACTGGAATATCGCTGGTATTCTCCTGTGTAAAAACTGAGAGGGAAGTATGTGTTAAAAATTCACACTTTTCCTTATCACTGTCAGTGGAGCTGACCCAGGGGCTTTTTATGGGCCTAAATTTGTCCCTGATCTACTTCTGTATACCTTAAAAAAAACCTTTGGGTTAGTTTTTATTCTTTCAACTTTAACCTCATAATCCTTTTTGCTTTTCTAATTCCCTTTTTTAATTTCTCTCTTTAACAATTATCGATTTTTCAATTTTCCCCCTCCTCTTTTTGATTTGCAAAATATGCCCCCCTTTTGACCAATCAATTTTTTAAAACTATTTTTCATCCATTTAGGATCATTTTTTGTTTTTATCTGATTTCCCTATTTGGAACTTTTGACTAGCAGCAAACATGCCCTGGAAAGCATCATATCGGGAACCATCACCACCTACCTGACCTTAGTCGGTCATTCCAGTTCAGCCCCCTAAGTAATTTTTCAGTCCATGAAATCAGCCCCAAACGAAAGCAGGACGGAGACTTGATTGCCATTATAGGGGAATTCCAATTATTAAAACTGATGATTTGTGATCACTTTCCCCCCAAGCTCACATTAAACCAAATTATTAAATTAAGTGTTTTCCCCCTATGGCAAGAACCAAGTCAAGGAGGTTATTTCCCTAGTTGGCTCTGTCACAAACTTTTTAAAAAAAAAATCCTGGGGTCGTATCAAAAAAATACCCGACTCTAAATTTTTCCCGTCAAATTGCTCCAGTCAATCTGTTATTTGAAATCTCCCCTTAGCACAACATTTTCGTATGTAGAAAGCCTTACGAATTTCGTCCCATAGAAATTTTCTGCACTCCCTATCAAGATTTGGGGGCCGTAAATTTAACCCAAAATTAGTTTTTTCTCGGCCCCCCGAGAAGCTGGGAACCAAACAGGTTTAGTGGGTGACGCTTCTAATTTAATATCTTGTCTAAACACAACAATTTAAATTTTCTTGACATAATCGTACTCCACCACCTTCCTGTTGACCCCGTCAGTGTGGAATAATTTATAGCCCTTTTATGTGAATTCAGAGGGGATCTCTCTATTTTCAGATTAAGCCAGGTCTCTGTTTTAGCAATAAAATCTATGTTTTCCCGCACTTTCAAATTAATCTTAGCTCATCTATCTTATTTCTTACACTCCTGCTATTTTTATAGTAAACCCTTTAAGGGGCTAGTCCCTTGCTGCCCCTTCTGTCCCCTTTGTTTGCTGACCTGATCTATTTTTCTTTATTTAAAACTTCATGCGAAACCTTTTTAACATTTTTTTTTTCCAAAACCCAAGTGTTGCAACCTGCTTGTTTCCCCCACACACCCATACCTCTATCTTCCATCAGTTTAAAATCATAGGCATTTCACCAATGGCCTTTTCCCAAACGAGTCTGCAAGTGCTACCACCCCACCCAGAGAGATGTACCCCCCCCTTTCATAAAACATGTTTGCCATAAAAGTTGTTCCAGTTGTCAAAGAATGGGATTGCAAGTTTCCTTGCAGTATCTGTTTAGCCAGCAATTTTCACCAATTGCCCAGCAACCCCTTTTATTTCCTACTCCCCTTCAGGCAAGATGCTACATATGATTTTGGGTCCCTCCCTTTAAATAAGAAAACTATAGCTGTTGTACTTATCTAGCAGCTCTTCTCTCCTACCCTTCCCAATATCTTTCCCCCCAGCACTGAGACAGATAATGGGCTTTTCCCATACCTGACGTGAATTATCCAGCGTTACAATGTCCCCCCAAAACCAGCTCCGGGAAGCACACTCTTCCCCTTTATCTTCTTTTTCCTATTACAAAAAGCACGGTCAATATATTTACCTGAGTCACCAACCACAAGAATGCGCTTACCTCCTTAGCAGGGGGGTATACCCTTTTCCTTCACGGCCCTGAAGTAATTCATCCTGAAAAAACAGAGAAGCGATTTCCTCCTTCGATCTTCACTCTAATTTCCCTTACTCTGAGCGCCTTCCATTACTGTGAACCACTCGCCCCCTTGTAGCAGTGCGGACTGCACCTCACTGTGGTAGCCGTTGCTACCTCCCCCGCCAGCCTCCTCACAAACGGGGGGGGGGGGGGGAAATGCACCTCACTGCTAGAAGCCTCTTCCCCACAACTCCAGCCACCTCACACTCTCTCCCAACCCCCTTGAGGTGGGCCTTCAGCCCCTAATCTCCCCTGGAGAACAAGACCTCCCCTTTAAAATCTCCACCTCAATTTTTAAAAACACTGCGAAGCAAGCCATGCTTTGTAACCGTCCCACTAACCCCAAAGCAGCTCAGGGTCTGTGACCCACGTGCGCGACCACGAGACTGAGACTGACCCCTGAGTACTGGGAGGCAGTTGAAGGTTAGGCCCCTCACATTTATTTTTTTGTTCTTATCGTGCTAGTTTCCCCCTGCTTTTCACTGGGGGAAAATTGCATCGCTGCCGAGTCTTATGCTTTTATAAGGATATTTTTCATGTGGGGAATTTTGGGACTAATCCCTCTAGGGTTTTCCAAGTGTATTAATCATGTATCTCCCCGCTGCATTTTAGGGGGTACAGGTTAAAACTTAAGATTCCCAGTAATTGAGGTGTTTTATCGCAGTTATGTGTGCAGTGAAGGATCTCTGTACATTTTCTAGGTCAGCAATTTCACCTGCCTTGAAAGGTGCTGTTAGTGTGCAGCAATATTCCAGCCTAGATAGAAGAAGCGACCTGAAGAGTCATCATAGGCTTGGCATCCCTAATTTTGAAGGTTCTCATTATCCATTGTGTAATTTTTCTGAGATCCTCTGACATTATCACTCCCAGGAAACATTTCTTAAATCTTACGGTAGTTTAAAAGTGGAATGACTTGATAAGGAAGTGGTGGAAACAAACTTAATACCTGGAGTATACCTGGAGAGGGTTTCGGGGGTCAACGCCCCCGCGGCCCGGTCTGAGACCAGGCCTGGTGTGTTCTAAGAGTGTTGAACTCCGTAAACACAGCTCATCGAGTACATACACACCCAAAAATAAACACACAGAACAGCATTCAAAGAATCCTTAAGAACTTTATATCGACATACTGTGCCAATTACTGAGTACGCAGTCCCATTGTTTAGCCTACGGCTGTTCAAGCACGTGCAGAAGCTCGAGGAGGTTCTAAGGCTGGTGACTGGAATAGTACCAAAACCAAAGGAAATGCACTAAGAGGATAGACTGAAGGAAGTGAACCTGACGGCCTTGGCAGAGAGGCCACTGGAAGACATGATCACAGCATACAAAATCCTAAGAAGAATTGAAAAAAGACTGACAAGATCGAGGAAAATCAGGTACAAATTGAAAACATAGATTAACTATAGGATGAGGCAGTGGTGGAGGCAAACACAATACACAACTTCAAGAGTAGATATGATAATACCAAAGAGGCCAGATGTCACTGATGCCCATGCCAGTAGTCTAAGGGCCAGAGGCTGCGTCTCAACTCCCACAAAGCTATCGGTGAATAACATACATTCGCAGGCGTGTACATTATACAAAATAAACAGATAAATAAGTAATAGTTTGTTAAGGCTATAAAGGAGAATAACCAGAGGAACTTGTAAGATGTCAGCGAGGTTGGTAATGCATGCCACAGGTGCTGGTAATATACATTTATGTATGCATATGTATGTATGTGGAGCGTCTAGTTATTCAGCGCAATCACTCAGAGCTTAGTTGTGCGATTGTTTTGTCCGTGGCAAGAAAGTAACGGATGTGGCAGCTGTGTAGGAGACTGAAATGTTCGAGTCAATGACGATAAAATATGAAACCTCGTGACAGGAAGCCATATTACGCTCACCTTAAAGTAATGTTCAGATGTCTCCCCAGCCTGATAGTGTGCTCTGCCACACCCTACACTCATCCTCAGCCATATTCACACTAACTCACCCTGAAAAGTATATAAACTTTAATAATAAACGATGTACAGAGTAAGCTAATAACTGGCCGTCATCTACACAAAGATATATATGTAGCAGCTGGAAGCATATCAATGCATCCTGTCTTAATCAACACAGATAAAGGCACTTGATCTTGTTCTGGCAGTAAAGGTTGCCATTATAGACATAATTAATAGTGGTGTGAGGTGGGTGAGCGGGGGTAGGTTAATATAAAGCTTTACTTGTGTGGGAATAATTATAATTTGAAGGAGCGTAGTTAAGGGAGTGTGCGGCAGGTGGCGCTGACACTCAGTGTACTGAACACTGTTGAGGGACGACACACGCTCAACACACACTCGTGTTTAAACCTTATATTTGTCTCCTCTAGACCAACCATGGTGGACTAGCGTCAACTGAGGTAGTATCTTGTGCTCCAGGGTGGATACAGTGTACAACCATAAGCAAGAGTTAATATAGAAGTGTTGTGTGGAGGTGGTGTGCTCACAGCTTGTTGTCTCCAAGGAAGCAACAAGTGAAAATCTGTGCTGCAAGAAAATGTATTATTGTGTTTTTGTAGTGTTGTTGTGTGTCTTACTTCACCTGGATTAACAACGGCATAAGGATATTAAGAAGATAAATATTAAAGAAGAGTGAGAAGATGTTTGGTAGTGACTTGAGGTGATGGTGTTGTGGGTAAGATGAACTACACATTGTGGTGCACACGCGTCATCACAGACACCATCACCATCATCACCATCATCACCATCACCATCATCACTCATCATCACCATCATCCTTAGACCTCAACGCGCACTCATTTACCACAACTTTGCCAGAAGTAATGTATTATGAACTTAATGCAAATTATGGTACAGTATTTGACAAGCTATGTCTGTATGAGATATATTTCAGACATGTCATTACGGCACGTCAAGATTGTTGATCATGTCAGTTTCTTTAATTGTTACGTGATTATATACTAAAATATTTTTGGAATAAAACTACTTATTCAAGCAGTGTGGGATTGTGAGAGAGTTACAATTTATTCTACTTGAGCCATTACCAACCTAACGTTAGTTTTAATAACTAGTCTTAGCAAAATGAATTATTAGTTTTAAATAGTAAATGTAGGTAAGCGAGGGTCGTCATGGAAATTGCGTAAGGTTTTGGAGCGTGATACACTAAGCATGGTTTTATGAATGAAAGTTTTCTTATAAATAGATCATTAACTGAAAAAAGACTACACTGACTGTCTGCTATAGAATATTTGTCATAAACTCAAGCATATAAGAACAGGGAACACTGCGGTGGACCTATTAGTTCATGCTAATTAGGGCCATTTCATGCCCAATCACACCTGCTCATATACCTATCCATCCTACATGTAGAGCTACACAAAGTTATCACTTCAGTGGTGAAACCTGAAGTTTCATTCTAATACAGTTTTATTGCCAGACCAGTATATTACTTACCTAAATCTTTATAAATCTGAATTTGACCATCTTGAATTCATTTCCGTAAGTTTAATTACTGCATATGTTGTATTATTATTATTATAAGCAAGGGGGAAGCGCTAAACCTGTAGGATTATACAGCGCCTGGGGGGGGGATGTGGAAGGCATTCAGGCTTAATTCGGGGAACTGGAGCAAAGATCCAATTCTCTTAATCAAGAGCCCCTCACCAACATCAAGGAACCTTCCCTGAGGGGTGCATGTGTTGCAGACTTGTATAAAAAAAAATAACTATCATTACCGTAGTTAAATAATTATTGGTAAAATTATCAACATTATTTTAAGCAAATAAACATTACCGTAGTTAAATAATTATTGGTAAAATTATCAACATTATTTTAAGCAAATAAACATTTGCTTGATTAGTAAATTTCGACACTTGAGTCAAAAAGGGCCATTCATACCAAAAAAATTTACTGACTGACTTTAGTAAGACAATTGATGCAGTCGACCATGATAAAGAATATATTTTTGATTGGATTTCAGTAAGGTTTTTGATAACAGTCTCAGAAAACACTTGAAAATGGCAGCACATGATTTTGCAGTAGTAGTTCTCTCATGGATTGAGACATAACTAATAGGCAACGAAAGGTTATCAGCTAAAAAAATTGATTGAAATGAAAATGGGAACCAGCCACGAGTGCTTGTCATAAGGATCAGTTTATGGGCCCTTAGTTCATAAAATACTTCAAATGAGTAAATTTAATAATGATACAAAGGCAGGCCGACGTATATAAAAATATATATATAATACAGGTAGTAGGTTGGTAGACAGCAACCACCCAGGGAGGTACTACCATCCTGCCAAGTGAGTATGAAACAGAAACCTGTAACTGTTTTACATGATGGTAGGAGTCCTGGTGTCTTTTTTCTCTCTCATAAACATGCTGGATAACAGGTATATCTTACACTTAGGTCACACTTCACGCATGTACATGCATATATATTCATACACACAACTAGGTGTTTTTTCTTTTTCTTTATAGTTCTTGTTCTTCTTTATTTCCTCTTTTCTCCATGGGGAAGTGGAAACGAATCTTTACTCCGTAAGTCACGTGCGTGTTGTATGAGGCAACTAAAATGCCGGGAGCAATGGGCTAGTAAACCCTTCTCCTGTAGAAAATACTAAAAAAGGGAAGAAGAAATTATAAAACTGGGATGCTTGAATGTGCATGGATGTAGTGTGGATGATAAGAAAGAGATTATTGCTAATGTTATGAATGAAAAGAAGTTGGATGTCCTAGCTTTAAGCGAGAAAAAGCTGAAGGGGGTTTACCTGGAGAGAGTTCCGGGGGTCAACGCCCCTGCGGCCCGGTCTGTGACCAGGCCTCCTGGTGGATCAGAGCCTGATCAACCAGGCTGTTTGCTGCTGGCTGCACGCAAACCAACGTACGAGCCACAGCCCGGCTGATCCGGAACTGACTTTAGGTGCTTGTCCAGTGCCAGCTTGAAGACTGCCAGGGGTCTGTTGGTAATCCCCCTTATGTGTGCTGGGAGGCAGTTGAACAGTCTCGGGCCCCTGACACTTATTGTATGGTCTCTTAACGTGCTAGTGACACCCCTGCTTTTCATTGGGGGGATGGTGCATCGTCTGCCAAGTCTTTTGCTTTCGTAGTGAGTGATTTTCGTGTGCAAGTTCGGTACTAGTCCCTCTAGGATTTTCCAGGTGTATATAATCGTGTATCTCTCCCTCCTGCGTTGCAGGGAATACAGGTTTAGGAACCTCAAGCGCTCCCAATAATTGAGGTGTTTTATCTCCGTTATGCGCGCCGTGAAAGTTCTCTGTACATTTTCTAGGTCGGCAATTTCACCTGCCTTGAAAGGTGCTGTTAGTGTGCAGCAGTATTCCAGCCTAGATAGAACAAGTGACCTGAAGAGTGTCATCATGGGCTTGGCCTCCCTAGTTTTAAAGGTTCTCATTATCCATCCTGTCATTTTTCTAGCAGATGTGATTGATACAATGTTATGGTCCTTGAAGGTGAGATCCTCCGACATGATCACTCCCAGGTCTTTGACGTTGGTGTTTCGCTCTATTTTGTGGCCAGAATTTGTTTTGTACTCTGATGAAGATTTAATTTCCTCATGTTTACCATATCTGAGTAATTGAAATTTCTCATCGTTGAACTTCATTTTGTTTTCTGCAGCCCACTGAAAGATTTGGTTGATGTCCGCCTGGAGCTTTGCAGTGTCTGCAATGAAAGACACTGTCATGCAGATTCGGGTGTCATCTGCAAAGGAAGACATGGTGCTGTGGCTGACATCCTTGTCTATGTCGGATATGAGGATGAGGAACAAGATGGGAGCTAGTACTGTGCCTTGTGGAACAGAGCTTTTCACCGTAGCTGCCTCGGACTTTACTCTGTTGACGACTACTCTCTGTGTTCTGTTAGTGAGGAAATTATAGATCCATCGACCAACTTTTCCTGTTATTCCTTTAGCACGCATTTTGTGCGCTATTACGCCATGGTCACACTTGTCGAAGGCTTTTGCAAAGTCTTTATATATTACATCTGCATTATTTTTGTCTTCTAGTGCATTTAGGACCTTGTTGTAGTGATCCAATAGTTGAGACTGACAGGAGCGACCTGTTCTAAACCCATGTTGCCCTGGGTTGTGTAACTGATGGGTTTCTAGATGGGTGGTGATCTTGCTTCTTAGGACCCTTTCAAAGATTTTTATGATATGGGATGTTAGTGCTATTGGTCTGTAGTTCTTTGCTGTTGCTTTACTGCCCCCTTTGTGGAGTGGGGCTATGTCTGTTGTTTTTAGTAACTGTGGGACGACCCCCGTGTCCATGCTCCCTCTCCATAGGATGGAAAAGGCTCGTGATAGGGGCTTCTTGCAGTTCTTGATGAACACAGAGTTCCATGAGTCTGGCCCTGGGGCAGAGTGCATGGGCATGTCATTTATCGCCTGTTCGAAGTCATTTGGCGTCAGGATAACATCGGATAGGCTTGTGTTAATCAAATTTTGTGGCTCTCTCATAAAAAATTCATTTTGATCTTCGACTCTCAGTCTGGTTAGCGGCTTGCTAAAAACTGAGTCATATTAGGACTTGAGTAGCTCACTCATTTCCTTGCTGTCATCTGTGTAGGACCCATCTTGTTTAAGTAGGGGCCCAATACTGGACGTTGTTCTCGATTTTGATTTGGTATAGGAGAAGAAATACTTTGGGTTTCTTTCGATTTCATTTATGGCTTTTAGTTCTTCCCGCGATTCCTGACTCCTAAAGGATTCTTTTAGCTTAAGTTCGATGCTTGCTATTTCTCTGACCAGTGTCTCCCTACGCATTTCAGATATATTGACCTCTTTTAGCCGCTCTGTTATTCTTTTCCGTCGCCTGTAAAGGGAGCGCCTGTCTCTTTCTGTTTTACATCTACTCCCTCCTTTTTCTTAGAGGAATAAGCCTTGTGCATACATCGAGTGCCACCGAGTTAATCTGTTCTAGGCATAAGTTGGGGTCTGTGTTGCTTAGTATATCTTCCCAGCTTATATCGGTTAGGACTTGGTTTACTTGGTCCCACTTTATGTTTTTGTTATTGAAGTTGAATTTGGTGAATGCTCCCTCGTGACTAATCTCATTATGTCGGTCTGGGGCTCCGCGCATACATGACTGAACCTCAATTATGTTGTGATCTGAGTATATTGTTTTTGATATGGTGACATTTCTTATCAGATCATCATTGTTAGTGAAGATGAGGTCTAGTGTATTCTCCAGTCTAGTAGGCTCTATTATTTGCTGGTTTAAGTTGAATTTTGTGCAGAGATTTAAAAGCTCATGTGTATGTGAGTTCTCGTCAGAGCTGCCTCCTGGTGTTATCACTGCAACAACATTATTTGCTATATTCCTTCATTTTAGGTGCCTCAAGTTGAAATCCCCCAGGAGCAAGATGTTGGGGCAGGAGC